TTATTTCAATTTTTAATTTTTTTCGTCGCGCTGTGATGACGTCAAATGCGCGCTTTCGTCGAGCGCGATTTTGTCCTCCGCGGTTTTGTGGTGGAACCATTTGATCTTCCTACATTTCTTCCTAAGGAAGATTTCCTTTTCTCTAATACTTTCTTGACAATCTGTTAATCAACTAATAACCTTCTAAGTTACATTGTAATTTTCTTGAGCTGAAGGATACATAATAATTTCTGTTACTGGAAAATAAACTCAGCTATATAAAGCTTTAATGCCACAATTGTTTCAATCCTACCCTAATTTTGCACCATATGAGCAACATGTACATGTATATGCTTACATATGCATAAATCTTTGCCTTGCCCAATGGCAACTTTATCTATTTTCTAAAGTTCTAAACCACACACACAAACTAAAGAAACAGACACGTAGTATACAACGGCATAAAATCATGATTTCTGTGGTATAAATCAACCTGAGTAAAGCTAATGGTTTACTAGAACGAAGTTACCCTGCAGAAGACTAGAGTGATTATTCCAACAAGATTTTGGAAAGCTAGAAGAGGATTAGCCATAGGAGATTCCTTGTAACAGCTACAAATATGACCCAGGGCCGTCACCTTCCAAATAAATGGGAACTAGCATTAACCATTTAGGGGCTGGGGAGGAAAGAACTGAAATAAATAGAGGAAGTTAGAAAAACTGATCATCAATCTCTTTCTTGGCTTACAATAAATATTACATAAGTACCTAGTTGCTGATTTGGATAACTAGTAATAACTAACATCTAGGTACTTCTTTTCATAAGTTATTTGTAATAACTTACCATATATATGAAAAGAGGCACAATGCTCTGTAATGCTCCCATATACTGCCCAAGTGCTATGTTAAATCTTTCAATGTAGAGATCTGGAGGGCTGGCCTGCAAAAGGAAAAAAGAAAAAGAAAATAAGAAGGCAACCTTACATTTTGGCATAACAAGGTTAAGTTTGAAGATTTAAAGAAAACCCCTTATATGAAAGTTTAAAAATGATTTAAAACAAACACTTTACCGTTATAGTCCTCTGTTTAAATGGCCCCAAACGTTTGGGTACCAGGGACTGGTTCCATGGAGAAACATTTTCCGTGGACCGGAGGTTTTGCATGTCACCCCCATCGCACAGATGGGGGTTCACCTGTTTGCACGGACTAGTTGCTGGCATGTCACAGATAGGTGTCAGTACACGGACCGGAAATTGGGAACCCTGCTCTAGTTACAGGTTCAATTAGGATCAGAATAACTGTTGCTAAGGGATGTGGTTGTAAAACGTGATGTCATGTGACCATATTGCTTAGCAATGACAACCTAGCAGTACTGCTTACTGTTGTAATAACAGATGCATAGGTTGTTAAGCAGGAAGCAGAAGAGAATCCTGGGTAAAGAGTGTAAGGGGCACACCTGGGGACCCAGCGCAGACCGCATACAAGTTGGGGTAGTGGGGTACTGCAGTGACCTGCCAGCTCAAAACGTCCAGGGAAAGAGTCTGCAGGGCATGAGCCAGTGCAGGCAAGCGGGATGCGCCCAGGTTTGCTGAACAAACGATTGTAACTCAGGACTATCTGTAATGTTTCCTCTACCCACCAATGCTGCCACCCCTCCGCAAATGTCAAGGAAGAATCACTTTGATAGTCCATCTTATATTAAGAATATGTATACTATTAATAAGTTCTTTCCTCTTGAGTATTCAAAAAGACACTATCTAGGAAAGGAAAGAAAGATATCAACAAGGGGGAAAAAAAGGGAGGGAGGCAAAGTCCAGAACCGATATATTCATCCTCAAACCAATGATGCCTACATGTGTTCATTGTGCACAAATGCCAAGGCTTGGATAGGAAGTGGATAAAAATAATGAAATGTCATATTTGTGAGAAAGGTTGTTGCCCCCTCCATTATGCTACAGATGCTCTCTGTAAGGAGTGCCAATGCACCCTTTTAGGTGGAGCTTAAGAGACCCAGTCTAATATGTTTAATGCTATGCCCAGTGAAATTCCAGAGCTATAAACAAGAATGAAAAGTAAAAAATATATATCTGAGGAGGAATTTGCTGTACTATTACAAAGAAAACAACATGGATGTTATTAGGACTTTAGCTTGATATAAAGGAGACTTTATTGCTTTTATTGACTTCATATTCGTTTTAAAAATATTAAATAAATGAAGTTTAACATCTATAACTATTTAAACTATAACATCTTATTGCATACAAGCATCTGCTTTTCTGTTTTATAGTTGATTATATTTTCTCTTAATAGTAGCTCTGTTTTTTCTTGTTTGTTATGTCTTTATTATCCAGCAGCAGAATCTAATAAATACACATGGATTTGCTTTCATTTTCTCACAGCCATTTATATGAGTTATTGCTCATAGCTACAAACAACAGAACAAATAAAAGATTTCTAGTAGGATACTGATTCTTGTGCTTTAGTGATGTGTGTATGTGAGCATATGCATAATGGTTTAAGAGCTGAATGCAATGAAATTTCATTTTAATGTATGCTGATTAGTGTATATTTAAACATACAATAATGTTCTATTCTTTATTCTATTCTATTCTAACACTAGTATTACTCTTTTGCGCAAAACCAACTATTAACTACCACAGGACTGCCAAGAGATAGTTCTTTTCTGAAACATCAAAGGGAACAGCAACAACTCCATCATTGTGGCACATAAGTAGTTAGAATAATAGGTTTACATGTTCAAATCTCTCAGGCAATTTAGTAGACAGCACAGTTCAAAACTATAGCTCTGGAAGTAAGACATCAAGTCTGAAAGCTTATATAGAGTCTATGGCACTGTTGCATTTCTACTCGGAAGTTATTATCTGAACATAGCTGGTAAGCTCACATAGGACTGTGGCCTTAGAATTATAGACTGTGCTACATAATGCATTCAAGGGCTTTTACAACAGAACACAGAAAAGAGAATACTATTTGCAAAGCACTCAGAAAGAATAAACACCTTCAATGATCCATAACAAAATGATATCAAAGCTACCCTGCCTAGGTCCCAATTTTATACACTTAATATAGTCAAATATATGCATTTATTCAGCAAACTTGCCTAACGCAGACATCTATCCCCATTTTGCCGCCTAATCTGCTTTGTTTAAAATTCACAGTAACAACACTGATTACAGTAACCTCAAAACGTAAGACATAACAATGGCTATAAGTAAATTGCAGGCTGTGATTTGGCTAATTATGACTATGTTAATTCTATTATCAAAAAGGTACACAGGGCAACATAATGACAAATGATCCTACTTATTTTAGTAAATCCTTCAATCACCATTTCTGGGTTTGAACCCCCTAAGAAACTGGTTTCCAGGATTTCCTCATTCCGCTTGAAAGTTTGGTTTTGAAAGAGGGAAGCAAAGCATAGGAGAAGGAAAATGGAGCATTCACCTCTTTATCCATCTAATAAAATGTAAATTTAAATCCAATCAGGATCATAATTGGGCTTTATTAGTAATCAGGAACTTAACAAGACTTAACAAGTTATTTTTTTTTTACTTCTGATTAAAATAACTTCATCTAGAACATCAATCAATTCAATCTTGTGAATGATGGAAAATGGAGAAAAACATGGCAATTCCTTTTTTAATGTTATCCAACTAACAATCTATCAAATTACTCCTTTAATAAAGAAAAGATTTGCAAGACTCAAAATAGATAGGAAGCAAAAATTTGAGGTAATCATGTCTGCATTTTCCACAGACCAAAATGGTCTATAAGTTTGCATTCCACTACTAATAAATTAACTTTACTAATTTATTAAAAAGTTTCAGTTTTTAACACAAATCATAGGTATTCCAAGGATTTGGCTTGAATCTTTCAACAAATCTTGGCTTTTTAAAACAGTTTTGTTCTGAGTGCTCCAGGCTGTTCCATGTATTCCAATTGAAATTTTGCATGGCAGTTTTCAATTTGCTTTAATCTTTCATGCTAGCCAGTCAGGACAGATTGACTGGTTCCACCTATTACTGGCTGACGCCGAGTAAGGTGAAATGGGCAGGAGGAATATTAGGAAAAAGCAGCTATCATTAAGCACCTGGTTCAGAGATTAAGAGCTACAATAAAAATCTATTCTGCTAATGTTTCCAAACAGATACACGGAGGCTTGCAGCCATCTGCCCGCTTGGCTAGCTAAGTTACCGTACTCTTGTTTTCAATATTCTTTGTTATTGAAAATAACAAGTGCTATTAACAAGTGCTATTAAGGCTGCTGAGGTTTAAGATATAAAGTGAACAGCATGGCTTGTTTTCCTGAACTGTTTTCCTGAANCACCCAATTCAGTTGGGAAATTCCAGGTAGCTTTGAAATTTCATCTGATATTATTCCTTAGGAAGTAGTCTATTTTAAGATTCTTATCACATTAAAGTATTTTTCTCAAAATTTTAAAATAAGTTAGATAAAACCAAGAGGAAATAGAGCAAGATCAAGTAAAAGAATAAAAGTTAAAGTTAAAAGAGTAAAAAAGGTAAGTTTGAAATAGACAAGAAATTAACTGCAGTTTTAAACTGCTTGAGACTGACAGTGTCATATTTCAGATACCCTATGCCGGGTGTCGGCAACCCAAGGCTCCAAAAATGCATGTGGCTCTTTGACCCCTCTCCTGCGGCTCCCTGCCAACCTGGTCGCACAACCTGTTCTCTGCCCCAAGACACTGGCCCAACCCGGCCATGGCCAAAACCAACCTTGCTAACACAAGGGCTGGTGAGGTGGGAATGGGATCAGGAGGAGGGTACAATGGAAAGGGGGACAGGTGCTGAGGAGTGAGCATGAGCCACGTCGAAGATGACTCCTCCTCACACGATCCTCTGGCCAGTTGTTGTGGGGCCAGGAGATACCCTCCTCAAGTCAGTGGCCAGGTTTGGCCAAAGCGCAGCAAAGGTGTGTTGGGTGGGCAGGTTGACCGGCTGACGGGCAAGCATCTTAGGCGAGGGTTCTCCGGCTTTCTCCAAGCCTGATCTCCGGGGTGGGCATGTGAGGTTCGATGGGGTGAGCCCCCTTTTCCCGCTGTCCTGAGCATTACTTCTTCAGTGGAGTTGATCAAAAAGCATTCTCTCGGTTGTAAAAGTCCCCTGTGCGAGATTTAAAGCCTCCCCAAGGACACTTTTCAATCAACATTGGCAGTGGCGCTGCTCCACTTGCTTGAGGAGAAAATCTCTGCTCATGCGCTCCATCCCAGCCCCTCAACAGCCAGCCAGGGGATTGTGTGAGGGGGGGGGGGTCGTCTTCGGCGAAGCCATTGCCATGGCTCGTGCTCATTCCTCTGCCAGCCCAGGTTTTCCAAAAGTTGCCAAGAAGAAAAGGATTAATGAAGAGCCCCAAGGAGAGGTCGCTGGGTCGACTCAGCCTCAGCTTTCTGAGACAGACAGACAGACAGACAGACTGGGGTGGGGGAGAAAAACTAATAGAGATATGAGAAAATGATGGAGGGAGAGAAAGAGAGAGGAAAAAAAGGGAAACAAATAGAGAAGGGGGAGAGAAAGAAAGAGAAAAGGGAGGAAAAAGAGGAAAAACAGAAATGAGAGGGAGGGAGAGAGAGAGACTTATTTCCCACAGGAGACACCGAAAGCCACAAAACCTGGGTAGGCATGGCGGGCGGGTCATGTGACTGGGTGGGAGTGACATTGAGTTGGCCATGCCCACCCAGGTTTTATGGCTGCTGGTGTTTTCTGTGGGAAATTGGTCCAAATGGCTCTGAGTGTTTAAGGTTGTAGACCCCTGCCCTTGGCAGAATCTAACAGCTTCTTGTTGATTCAAGATACGGGTTTCAAATCTTCTGATACTGCTGTCATTCTTTGGAGATCTGATTGAGATAAAGCAGTATAAGCAGCTAGAATGACAACAAATACGGGCTATGTGGAAAAGAAGCATATGTTGTTACCAGATCTATCTTTTAGAAATACCAAGAAGCTGTTAGATTCTGCCAAGGGCA